GCAGCTCCAGACCCCGAGAGTCCAGTTAGGACCCAACAGGCATGAGTGTGGGTGACTGAGCGGCGGCAGGACACCAGGCTGGTCCTGGGCTCTCCACCCCCTCTACCACCACCACCGCCACCTCCCCCCCAACAGTCCCCACCATAATGGAGGGTGTTGAGCTGTCCAAAAGTGATTAGCATGAGGGAGCCTCTGGCTGATTAAATAATGAGGAAATAACACAAACCCTGCGCGTTATAACATTATTATTGCATTTTGGTTTTTTAGGGTACTTAACAAATCTTGTGTGTTGAAGCTGACTTTGTTTTGGTATAGGAGTATAAGATGAGTTTAGGATTGTTTTATTGATGTAATAACAAAAAAACAAACAAAAAAAACATTCTTTCCAGTTTTGTCCAATTATAAATGTCTCTTTTGAAGCCGCCTGTAACGGCGCCCCATCCATAAAGTCTGCAGCACGACAGCTGAGTATTAAAGGAACGCTCAGCTGAAAAGTATCACAACACTCTCACCCCCTGTAGGCTTGAAAAAGGGCTCTAAAAAGTTTGCAGCTTGCTGCTTTGTGAAGGATGGCACTCATAGTTTACACTACTAAATACACCACTTCTGTGTCTCACTACTGCCAGCTCACAGCTCAGAGGCTCCAATGGAAGTAGTGTAATTAGCAATTTATTGGCAAAGCGATAATTGTTTGGAAAATAGTCAGCATGAGGATCAACAGCGAATAAAAGTGGATTGTGCAGCAGTAATGGTTTGAGAAGTTTCTACGGACGTTTAAATATGTTTTTTTGGCCATGACTCTGGGTCACCATTAGAATTGATTGTAACTCCAAGCTGACTACAGCTGCTGTCCTTCATGGAGGAGCAAACAATAAACTTTTTAGAGCCACATGTCTATAGAAACTTTTCAAATCTGTCCTGCAGGATAATGCACTCCGCCACTGATCCATTTTCCCAAGTAGGAACCAAACTTCAGTCGCTGCTTAAACAAATAATGTAATACAGTACTTCCAGCAACGCTTCAGTGGGAAACAGAGCTGGAGTGTTTGAACTCTGTTGTAGTTTGAAACATACAGAACATATGGATCAAGTTTCTGCACGTGGTGGTGATAGATTCTAACACTTTCTTTCACCTTTCAGACCTACAGGCGTTCGGTTTTTGATACTCAAAAGATAGATTTTCAGCAAAACGTTCCTTTAAACATAACCATTATCATTCCAATACCTGATACTAGTACAGTGTTTGAATTATATTAAAACATCTGAGTTGCTTATTCGAGCTTGAGTAAAATATTCAAGCTGCAGCACTTAGTCCCATGCAGTTGGTTACTGTAAATAGAAAAAATGTACATAAACTCCTGAAGCATACATATACAAGTATCTTTTGGAAAAGACAAATATGCAGTGCTTGGATGCATCAGTGAAAGTCTGGCTTCTCTGGGAAGGTGCATCCGACCCGTCTGATGATGACGTTGGCGGAGTAGTGTCCGGCCCGGATGCACTCCTCCAACGCATGCTCTTGGACCAGCGCAGAGAGGAATCCTGGGTAGACAGAAAGTGCAGAGGTCAACCTGTAAGCATCCATCACATGCAAAATTGTTTGGGGAGTAGTTAGCGTTAACGTGAGCCAGGTAACTAATGAATTTGTGGAAAAAGGGGACAATGATGTTTCATCCGCAACAGGACCCCGATGATGACTGTTTTATGTGGCGCTAGGATAAGCTCATACAGAGTAAAAACAGCAGGCTAAATGTCACGCTCATATAATCTGGAGACATTACTACATTACATAGTTGGCCGGTATCAAAGGTTAATTGGGAATGTACACAGAAATCAAGCTGTGCAGAAGATGATTTTCATGCCGTACCTCCCACAAAGGCGTCTCCCGCTCCGTTAGTGTCCACAATATCGTTCTGGTCGATGTCCAAAACGGGGAACATGGTCACCCTCTCACCTGTGGTCAAGACACAGGCGGGCTGTTAATTAAAGTTGAACACCAACTTCCCAACCAACAAGTTTTGGCCTATTACTTCTTTGATTGTAAAAAAAGAAAAAAAAAAAAAACATAGGTCATTTCACACAGCTTTGTTATAATTGGAGATAGTTAACTTATTTAATTTTAGCACTTCAGCATGGCATAGTTTTATGGCTAATTAATGAGATGTAAAATAGAAGCCTTACAGTACATGTGTAGTACATAATTAGTGTTGAGTAATAGTTAGGGAGCTCGAAGCTAGTCGTCATGGAACAGAGAACAGAGCAGCAACTCCCAGCATTGGAGGAACTGTAATGAATGATTGTTTGGCATTTTTTGCATGATAAATGACATAAATTGACTGATAATGAAAATTCTTTTGGCAGACACATTGATCATTTAACTGTTTTTCAGTGCCAATGAATAGGTAAATTCTGTCAAACTGAAGGACACTTCTGTAACTAAAATACTGCGACATGTCCTGCAGTGGCTTGAATACATTTTCCAGAAGCAACAGATGATCAAATGAAAAAAATCTCAACACCTATTCTCTACCGTTTTAGGCGAGCGCTCTGATAAATTAAAAAACAATGCGAGAACGGTAACTGTAAGTCATTTCAGTTCAAAAACGGAATCCATTAAATGAGGGTCTCTTTATTATCTTCGGTGGATTATATTGCTTCAATTATCAGTAGCATATGCACTTCAAAGGGACTTCCAGTTTAAAAGGAGAGAGGGGGGGGGGGAGAAACAAAAATCTACCAGATGACAAAGTCTGGAGGTGTAGAGTGACATTAAATCAGCAACTTATGTCAGAGCAATCTAAACCACACACACAATCTTCAAACAATCTGAGGGCTCTGGTGCCGACATGAACCTTCAAAAAGGTGCAGGAGACAAAAGACTGACATGTGGATAAAAGGAACACGAGGAGGCTGACAGACCTCTTATTGAGAAAAAAAGCTTGGAGTTTAAGGAGAACATGGGAAAAAAGACGACAAAAAAGTTGTTTAATGAGGCTCCCTGCTAATCTAACAACGGCTCACAAAATATCTGCGGTACAAGATAAGACACCCCACCTTATTAATTTTTGAACACATTTCTGTCCTTGTCCTACAGGGAAAAAGATACACAACCTGCAGCTGAGCATATGTTCAACACATGATGTCAAAGAAATGAGTGTAATACACCGGCTATGAGAGACACTCCATCAAGTTGTGGTTTGAAAATGACGTCTTTTGGAGCAGAAAGCGACTGTCTTACAGGTCGGGTACAGAGAATGTATCAGAAGAGATGGATTGTGTTTTCATAATAACACATTTTCTCTTTAAAGGGAAAGCAGGTGATTGTCACTTTGATAATAAATTAAACTACGACAAGAATCCTGTCAGGATCAGCTAATTAGCAGCATAACGACTCTGCTTAATTAATGCCACAGATGAAGAATCTTCCTTCCTCTTGAAACGATTAACCGCAATGGAAAATGTGCTAACAATAAATTAAAGTTTGTCAGTTATTCCACAGTTAAGAAACTCAAGTCGTTAGATGTGGTGGTGCTTCTGCGATGCACTTGGCGGTTATAAAACCGGATGCTTTAAAATCCGAAGCTGCTGCACTTGTTCAGCACAGATCCTGCAGTTCATTACACCCGAGAAATCAAATATACATTACTCTGTAAATATGTTCACGGTAGTTTAAACAAATGGTTACTCTCTCCAGTGTGGCAGTCGGTTCTTATTAGAGAGACAGTTTGCAACCAGGTACCTTCTTACATGAAGTGATGCCTGTTTTTGTGATAACACTACATCCTAAGGTGTTTCAATCTGTTACACCTATTGCTATGTTGGTGCAATTAACAGTTCTGGATTTAGATTCTTATCAAAATCTTTTAAATTCACTGGTAATTGAAGGACTCTTTTGATTTTACTCTAACATGCACTCTGCTGTGTCTTATTTGCTCTTTGGCTGATTTTTAAATATATATTTTTGAAATAGTTTTGCCTTTATTGGATAGGATAGCTGAAGATAGACACAAAAGGGGAGAGACAGAGGGGACCACAGGTCAGATTCAAACCCATGGCTGCTGTAACTAGGACTCAGCTTTGATACATGGTTCCAGGAAATCGCCATCTTTAAAGTCATTTATACCAAACTACATTATATTACAACCACTTATGTAAATTTAGCCACTTTCAGCAATTTTCTGTATTTAAATGAATGCAAATTTGGAACCACTTAATGAACTGAACTCAGTTCAAGTCACATAAAAATCCAGCCTCACTCTCTATAAACATCCTTATAATGTTGTAAACGTACAGAGCGTGCAGTATCATGTTCTTTAAAGTCCAGTGTGTAACAT